ATTCAAGTTTTTGTTAAACTTGCAAAGTTTTCACCAATCCGTGGGTCATCTTATATTGACTTGCCTTTTCGAATTCGAATGTCCCAGAATTTGATAAACATTAGAAATCACGAAGATAATAATTGCTTCGAACTTTGCTTTACCGCTGCTTATAGTCTGAAGCATGGTGTTGACCTACTTCTAACTGATCAACAAAAAGCGAACCCAGCAGCTGCGCGGACACAACCTGATACATACACTGCTGAAAGTGCACACAAAGCCCAAGGTAATTTTGATTCACCCATGAGTTTCGCTTCAATTGGAAAATTTGAACAACTTAACGAAGTGCGGGTAAATGTGTTCCAGTACCACAAGGGAGATTTGTTGCCTATGTATATATCAAAACGACCAAACCAAGATAACAGCACCCAAACTGAAATATTTGACATGGACCTGCTTCTCTTGTATGAGCCTGCAAAGCATCACTATGTACCTATAATCGATTTGTTAAAGTTCATCTGCGAAATCAAAGGGTGTAAGTATCGCACAATTGCACGTTTATGTAGAAACTGCTTTCACATTAGTTGGAGTGATGAAACTCACGAGCAACACATCCAGTGTTGTAAGGATCATGAACCTGCTCTAGTAGTCATGCCTTCAGCAGAAAAAGGTACCAACAGATACGAGTTCAAAAACCTCCAGGCCTTGTGGTTTGTACCACTTGTGATTTATTTTGATTTTGAATCATTTCTGAAACCTGTAGATTCTTGTTCTGATAATCCATCGCGATCATCTACCCGAGTTGTACAAAAACACGAAGCTTGTGGGTATTCATTGGCTGTAATTGAACACGGAAATTCACAGCCCTACTTCTTTGACTATGACAGCTCTGATCAATGCATGAAAAAGTTTCTCAATCAGTTGCATCAATTAGCGAGAGAAATATATGATCAAAAGCGACGGTTTCCTCAATTTCTAGAAAGCCAAGAATCGTTGAACAAAGAAAACACATCAACATGTTGGATTTGCTGTATACATTTTACCAATGAGCACGAAAAATGTCTTGACCATTGCCATTTTTCTGGAAAATGTTTGGGATGGGCACATGAAAAATGCAACCTCGCAAGACGAACTGTAAATTTCACCCCAGTCATTGGACATAACATCCAGAACTATGACCTTCACCACATTTGTCTCGCATTGCATGAATGCGAGCCAACAAGTACAATGAGTGTTATACCTAGCACCGACGAAAAATATATATCGTTAAGCATTGGAGTCCTAATTAAAACTATAAAAAGGAAAAACGGATCTGAGCAAAAAGTTTTTGAATACCTCAGATTTATTGACTCATGCAAGTTTTTGAATTCTTCCCTGCAAAAATTGGTTGATAATCTACCAGCGGAAAAAATGTCAATTTTGAACAAGTATTTTGCAAACGAGACGGAGGAGCAACGGTGTCTGATACGACAAAAAGGTTTCTACCCTTATTCGTACATGACCGGAAGAGAAAAATTTGCAGAAAAAGAATTGCCTCCTTTGCAAAATTGGTCCGATGTTTTGAATGGAGGAAAAAATGCAGTTTCACAAGCGGATCTGGAACATGCAAAGAAAGTTTTTAGAGTGTTCAAATGTCAAAACTTGGAGGATTATCACAACTTGTATCTCAAGTGTGATACACTCCTTCTTGCTTGCGTCTTTGAAGAATTTCGACAAATTAGTCACCAAACTTATGGTCTGGACTGCGCGCACCATTTTAGTGCTTCAAACTTAGCTAGAGACGCCTTCAAACGTATCTGCAAAGACTCGAATGTTCAGCTTTTATCAGACCGCAGGCATCTCGAAATGGTCGAGAATATGATGCGAGGTGGTACTGCATCCGTGTTCCATAGTCGCTTTTTCAAAGCCAACAACAAAGAATGCCCCGACTTCAACCCAGATCAACCTAGCACCTACGGGTTTATGATCGATGCAAATAACCTCTATGGCGGCGTCATGCAAACGGAGAAATTACCGGTGCGTAACTTTGAGCTAATAGAGCATATAGAAGACGAGGTGATTGTGAACCAAATCCTCAACATGACTGAAGACTCTTTGATTGGATTTATATTGAAAGTTCATCTCGAGTATCCAGAAGAACTGCATGAGGATCATCAAGATTACCCTTTAGCTCCTACTAAAGAAAGTGTACCCCAGGATTGGTTGAGTCCCTACCAAACAAATTTACTCGAGCAGATGAAAAATCAAGACGTTGCAAGACGTTCAATTGGAAAGACCAAAAAGTTACTGCAGACGCTGCATGACAAGTCAAATTATACAATTCATTACAAACTATTGCAATTGTTTGTTAGGTTGGGACTTAAAGTTAAAAAAGTGCACCGTGTGCTGAAGTTTGAACAAGAAGCATGGTTAGAACCATACATCACATTGAACACGACTAAACGACAACAAGCTAGAAATAAATTTGAGGAGGATTTGTACAAACTACTGAACAATTGTGCTTATGGGAAAACATGCGAGTCGAAGCGCAAACGGATGCTTGTTCGGATAGTTAGAGATTATCATGCCGCTTTGCGAGAAATTAGTGCATTCGAATTTAAATCCTACAAAATTTTTGGAGAAAACTTGGCAGCGTTCACTTCGAATCCAACAAAAATTGTGGGAGCTAGTGTTCTTGAGTTAGCAAAGTTTCACATGTATAAATTTCATTACGATATAATGAAACCAAATTTTGAATGTCAACTATTGTATTCTGATACAGACAGTCTCCTGTACCAAGTCAAAAGTGAAGATTTATACCGAGAAATTTCCGAAAAAAGGAATATTTTGAATGAACTTGACTTGTCAAATTACCCGAAGAACCACCCTCTCTACGACCCGAAAAACAAAATGGTTGTTTTAAAATTCAAGGATGAGTTTCCAGGAGACATTATAACCGAGTTTATATCCCTCAAACCCAAGCTTTATTCCATTTTGTCCAGAGGTAGTTAATTTCTATTTGCCTTATTTGTGAGCACGAATTTCAAAAAATTTTGATTTTTTGTGATTTTTTTTTTCGGAAGGCAATTTTTATTTGTGGGCGAAAAAATGTAATTTTATCAAAAAAAAAGAAATTTGGAAAAAACTTTTTAGGCGAAAAAGTATAATTTTTTTGAAATTTTTTTTTTTGTGGGCGGTTTTTTTTTGTGGGCGAAATTTTTTTTTTTTTGGAAAAAAAAATTTTTTTTGTTCGAAAAAAAATTTCGGGCGAAAAAGTGTTTTTTGTTTTGAAAAAAAATTGGAAAAAACTTTTTAGGCGAAAAAAAATAATTTTTTTGAAAATTTTTGGTTTTTTTTTGTGGGCGATTTTTTTTTTTGTGTTGGTTGATTGTTGTTTTTTTTTAATGATGACTAATTTTTAAGGTCACACCTGGCCTTCATGTATTTTTTTTTGTTGCACCTGGCTTTCAAGTTAACATGATGTAGCTCTTAAAAAAACATCGTATTTGGTTTTTTTACCACCACACATTAGTGATCATCAAAAAATTGATTAGTAATCATATAAATAAAATTTTAGACTGCAGAAATATATCGGCGAAAGGTGTATCCAAAGCTGCTCAGAAGATGTTGAGTCATCAGCGATATCGAGACACCTTGACCTCTGGCTCGTTATTCAAAACTGAAAACAGTCGAATCGCATCCGAGTCACACAATCTGCAAACAGTGACTTCGACGAAAACATCGTTATCAGCTTTTGATGACAAACGCTACATCCTCGATGATGGTCAGCAGACTCTTCCCCACGGTCACAAAAACATCGTGGGTCAAACTGTGATTGGCATTGATGATAGTGATGACAACTCAGCCGCTGTTAATTCTGACCCAACTGACGATGACGATTTGGAAAAATGGATGTTATTTTTTGAAGATCGTCAACAGCCAGTGTCGTGGGATTGTGACGATTTCCTAAATGGGGTGGCTGAAGAATTCGCTAACACTCAAAACGTTGATTGGGACCATCCAGAAATTGATGATGAATACTTTGAGGATAGTTTTGCTGTTGAGAGCACACAACCACATCGCTCGCTTCGACAACTGATGGACCAGGTCAATAGCAGTTGGCAAACTCCAGACCCCGGTCTGATTCGGGCAGCAGAAACCAACGACAGTGATATTGATAGCGGGGATATCGCGGATCTGGAGGCCAATACTTCCGATGAGGACGAGTCGTCATTCTTCAACGATTCGTTTTTCGATTATGAAACAGTTGAAGTGGAAGAACCACGGTAAAAAAATCGACGAATAGATTAAAACACAAAAAAACACCACATTAACTTTTGTATAGTAAATAAAATTCAGTTATTTAATATGAGAATTGTCTGTACATAAAATTTGACCTACCGCTATTCCGTGTTTAGTGTGTATCTAAGATTTTGTTCAGCTTTGGAACTCAATTAATCTGGGATATAAACAATTTCATTTAAGCGATAGTGTCTTTAGCATACTTTTGTATGTATTTATTTGTATGTAATTTGAGTTTGAATCAAAGTTTTAAGAAGAATTGAGCAAACAGTCTATAGCGCAGTTAAACACTCCAGCTGGTTTCAGAACGAAGATTTGGCAAATCCTTTCCCGCACCAAACATGTAACCACAACGTTCAGTGGGAATACTCAATAATATACCGAAGTTTTACATGAGGACTATTAGGTATACAATTATACATGGTGACAATTAGGATTATTACATGGTGACCATTGCTGATCATTTAATACATGGTGACCATTATGATTTATACCTAATGGTCATCCATGTATGACAAACCCCCCCCCCCCCCCCGATCCTAACGCACTATATGCATACTACTTATGAGGGCACATCTATTTTTGAAAGCATTGGACAGAAGAAATGATTTGGAACTCGTTAAGTTAAAGCGAAAATTTTTCGATACAGATTTTTTTAATTAGTCTTTACCAAAGTTTTAATTATGTTATTGAAGCCCCAAACGAGGTGAGTATAAATTAATTATGAGATCATGTTTCAGTGGCGTCAGAGGAGCAACTTCGGGAGAAAGAACACTTTATCAAGCGACGTCCCACAGCTGTACACTTGGACATAGAGAAACACAAGTTGCGTCTTCTGCAAGGCAGAAGAGTGAACAGGTTAGCCAATAAATATACCAATTTCACTTCTCCATTGCAGCTCAAATTTTGATTAAATCTTGAGTAAACATCAAATAAAGGTTTATTTGTCAACAGAATGAAGCATTTTGCGCGCTGGGTTGTTACACAAATTTGTTATTTAATAATTCACTTGGTTACATAGGGAAGCTTATTGTTCATTTGATCCCAAAAGCTACGCAGTTTGTGCTCATTACCTTAAACGAGCTCCCAAGTTGGTTTGCGATTGTCTAATTTAAAATAAACGTACATTATAATCCCCATTTCAAAATAACAGAATTAACAACTGCGATATTGGATACTGCCTATGCTCAAACTGCGAGGTAAAAAAATAAGTGACAAAAAGAAACCCCTTGTGTTTTGAACTAACTGTGCAAAAACAGCGGGCCGTTGTTTGCTATTTGTACAGCAACAGGTTTTCTTTTTTAAAAATTGTTTTGCTCAACCTTTAAGCTTCGTTTTGATTAGTTTCTGTCCCCGCATAGGTGTTCGTCTGCGAGACTGCAGCCCACTATGGATCCAGGGCAGCCGGTGGTTGTGGTGGACTCCTGGAGTGAGGTCACCGAGGAGGAACTGAACATACAGCAGAATGTTCGCAAACTCAAGGTCAGTTCACCTGTCGTTTACATCTGTGATCGATTGAATCATGTTTTCAGAATGAATCTATGATAACTTCAGTTTATTATGATTATTTCCTTTTTACTGTAGGAGGCCTCTCTTTTTGGTAATATTGAATTGAAAAAGTGAGCTATCAGCTATAGCTACATATTAATGTTGGTATATAATAATGGTGCATACAGCTTGTCGGTCAAAACTATATAAATAGAGCTCTAATTGTAGTTACAAAGTTCCAGTTACAAAGTAGTAATTGGACCATTTTTCTGATTTCCAATAAGGAATGCAGGGGCGGATTTAGGGGGGGGGGACGCCCTTTCCTCAGCGATTCGGCCCCCTGCCGACCCAAAGGGTCCCCCTTTGGTACTTTTTTAGAAATCCATTCTTGGCCGACCGACCCTAAAATTTTTGAAAGGGGCCTTCGGCGCCCATATATACTAACTTTGAGGGGGAGCGCGCGCCAAAATAAACGCGATTTTTTTGTCAAAATTTTCCAAAAATTGCCCAAAAACGGCGTTTTTTCCAAATTTTTGCCTGAGGCGCAGAAAATTTGACAAAAACAGAGTCTTTTTAGTGCTTGAGGAGAGTTCGGAAAATCAATTTGGCCGAATCAAGAAAAAGGTTGTCAAGTGTTTTGAAAATCATCCCCCCCCCCCCCTCGAGAAAATCCTAGATCCGCCCCTGTAGGACTGTATACTCCTGACAGAATCCAAAAGAGCGATTTCTATGAATACATTAATAGCCTTAAGGGGAAAGGTTAACTTTATAAAGGCTTCTGAAAACGAACTCGTTATTTTATTGCTGTCTTGTTATTGCTGTCTCGTTGTGTTATTGCTGCCGTTGTTTTTTTGCTGTCTACTTAAGTTGAGTTCATGAAAAAATGAAGTTTTGCTGTCATTTTAGAAAAGCTACGACTCTCAGGCAATACGAGCCTCAACTTCTCTTACCAAAGCAGACTACGCGAAGCTCCTTCGTCCTCCTGGCAAACAACTCTTCGTGTACAAGAACGGAGAGGACTGTTCGCTCAAGGAGAACATAATTCCGATATATGCCAGCTGCATGGATGATGTGATACGAAGTGCCACAAATAAATTGAGGATGGGATTCGCCGCCAGAAAAGTGTACCGACCTGATGGCACACTGGTAATTTCGCTAATTTTTAAAAGCATCCGCTCAAACGAGCGTCAGATTCAAGGTTACCCCATTTGTAACACGAAAGTTCGAGGATTGGTGATGGCAAAGCTTTTTCCTTGATATGCATTTCTTCCTCAGGGGTTTTGGGGTTTTACCTGGGGTGGTTTTTTTCTACGCAAAATCAGGTATAACAAATAAACGTCAGATGGATTCGTGTGATTTCGGTTCTTAGCCAAAGTTTTTTTAATATAGTTTAGCGCTAATTACCAATCATTGTTATTTTTAGCTAGCCAAGAAAATTTTATATAAATAATGTTAAGTATGCAGTCAATTATCAATTTTTAAGAGTCGCTGGACATAGTTAAGACTCTTAAAAAGGTCGTGATGATTTTTTTTTGTTTTTTTTTTCAGGAAAAGTCATGAAGTTTGTTCAGGCTCAAATTTGATTTTTCTTGCGGTTTGACTTTTGATTGCTTCTCAGGTTCAGCTCATTACCTTTGTTAAAGAGAAGGAAAATTCCACTATCGAACAGCAAAAGTGTAAAGGTCACAAAACACTTGATCGAATTCTAATTTTAAGAATTAAATTTAATTAGCAGATTTCCCAGCGAAATGCAAATTGGGTTAGTTTTACCAAAAAAGTGTCAATAATAATATTTTCTAGACATTTGAAGAAGTTTCCTTACGAGACAAAACTGTTCACTGAATAGGCGCACAATTTGGTGTCTCTAGGTCACTGGAATCCAGAGACAAGTCTTCAAGTGTTTTCGAAAATGTTGGTGGATTCCGCTTACAAAATTTCCGCGTGCAACTACGTCTAATTCTGTTGGAATACGTACATTTTGTCAAAACAATAGTTCTTTCGCGGGTTTCCAACCAGCGAATATAGCTAGTTGTTCCGGAATCCGCAATTGCTAGTTGTTTCGGAATCCATGAACAAAATTAAAAATATTGGGTAACATGGTGGATGTACCCTAGTTGATTTCCCGGCAAGCTGTTTCTGGGATCATAATTTAGGAAACGCGCCAAGTAAGCAAAATCATTATTTAAGATTGCACAAAAATTGCACATTGCGTCAACGGTGTTATGTAGGTTAAAATCCTTCATTTAATTGCGCCATCACTGTGTAGTTAATCTCTTCATCCGATATCCTGAAACTCTCTGTAGATAATAATAGTTTGATGCGATATCCTGAGGATTTAGCAGTATAGATATTCAGCAGCTAAACCATGGCTTTCATCTGAAATCTTGAAATTTATCCTAAACTGTTTTGGAATGTTTTTGTTTCCTAATTCGAATCAAATTTTGGATTAAAATATCGCACTTAACCTTGAACTTAACTTCGAACTTACTAGTCTACTACTTAAATTTGAGGGTAAGTTGGCGAGAATTGAGATGGAACGGTAGCGGGGGGTAAGGCAACTGTTGGCACTAATCGGTATTGAACTCGCTGGTGGCCCACACCTGTCAAAGAAAAGATTTATTTTGAAGACGCTACTAAAATTTGTGAAATCCGCTTACTTTTAGTGTATTTAGCTTACAGTTGCGGATTGCGAAAGTTTGCCTTCTTTGGAGCGGTTTTGAGCAGTACCGTGTTTTAACTATTTGTTTGTAGAATCCAAAAGAGCAAAGAAGCTCAAAGAAAAATAGCAATGTTGCGGATTCTACGACAAATATGATTTTGGCCTGTTGCAGAATCCGCTTACAATTCTCAAAATGCACAGTTTGGCCTCGTAATATTAAAGCCATATATATTTTTTGGAAGTTCGAAAAATGATATTTGAAAAAAAAACATTCAGTTTTTTTTTTGCATTCATTTACTCGTTTCCAATTCTTTGTTGTTTATGTTTTAAGTTTAAGCTCTCTCCCTCACCCTAAAGCTTTAAAACATAGGAAGCAAACTTGAGGTCTGAGCATCCTTTGTTTTTTACACAACAGTTGCCTATACTTGTTGTCTGGGATTTGTTGACGCTTGTTTTGCGATGTTTGCTTCCCTTCTGAACTTAGATATTTTTATACAAGTGATATCACCTAGGAATGTCTTTGTCGATTTGGTATGTTTTTTACCTCATTTTTTTAACCACAGACTTACAATCTCTTGAGTTCTTTCCAACCCGTAGACATCTTCAAAAGCTCTGAACGAAGTTTGGGCAATAATTCGGTAATTTGCTGAAAAATCATTGGAGTGGTCAATTGGTATTGCCAATAACGTTTTATAGATTGGATAAAGACCATCGTCTGTTGCAATCCTAGTAATTTGCTTAGCTCATTTTCGGTAGCCACTAGAAATTTTATATCTTATTTTTACGCAGTGAAGACGTAAGAAACCCCCCTCCAATGCAAATTTTGATTTTCAAACAAAATTTTGTAAAAGCTTATGCATTTCTTTATTCATAGCTTTAAAGCGATGCTATTTTAAGAAGTGATTTATTAGTTTTTTAGTTGCTTTTTGATTTTTTATTTTATTCTTTTAATATTTTGTTCTTTTAAGATTTTTTCTTTGAAAATCGAAAAATGAAGTTTTTGTTTTCATTGCGTTCATTTGTCTGTTGGCTACATTTAGATTTGGATATCTTTAAGTATCTTCCCATTTGCAAAGAGGGTTATATTCGTTACTACTTAAAAAATACTTAACCATTGCTTAGTTCTTTATGGGGGGGGGGCAATTTATAACTAGGTACCACGAGGGATTTCTTTGTTCTTTTTCTCAGAAAAAAAGTCTTGAAAACATAAATTACTCTGTGTAATTGGTTTTCAATTTTTACACTTCCCAGTGGAATTAAAAGGCCTAAAAAATATTTTAACGTGTATTTTATGTTCCAAGTTCTAAATTTGCTTTTTTTTGAAAACCTGTTATGTTCATCTGTGATGTCCAATTAAAAAGATAAAAATTGAATTTTGAATCAAAATTGTTCAAGAAAATAATAAAATTTGCACCAATTTAAATTTTTATCAAACTATTTAAATATTTTTGTAGCAATTTAAATTTTTCTGATGTCTGTTTTTTAACAGTTTTTTTGCCATTCTTGGGTACTTTTTCGTATTTTGAAAAGAAAAAGTCAAAACCCTTTTTTCGGGTATATATATTTGCAACGCAAGATTATCAGCTTTTTAAAAATCTCAACTTTTTTGCTTTTTCCGTAGAAATGTGAAACTAATTGACATAAGTAAGCTGATTTTTCATATAATTTGTGTGGGCTCAAATGATACATTTGAATAAATTGAAGTTTAAATAAAAAGTTCAATGAATTCAATTTTTTTTTAAATATACATCATTGAGGTTCTTTGACGCTTTTTCAACTTTCTGATGGCGATATATTTTCTACAATTCTCGAGCTCCTTAATCTTTTCCCATGATTTTTCTCCCAATGAACTGTATCATTATAAGTGATCACTTAAAGATGAATTTAATATATTTATAGGGTCTTACGGTGTTTGGGCACCTAAATTTGACGGCGATTCAATTTGACACCTAAATTTGACGGCTTTTAACATAGATTCACTTGATGCTTCAATCACTAGTGAGAATTTTTTGACATTAATGAACTCATATGGGTTTCTCCAACGCAACTTTGAATCCACACGTGTTACATCTTCAAGTCAGTCTTGTATTGACTTTTTTTTACCAAGTCTTTATTGAACAAAATAAATACTTTAAAAACTGTAATCAGTGACCATTACTCAATTTTACTTGAAATTGATGACTTTAAAAGTAAAAATGACATTAAAACACAGAGCGTTTTCCGAAACATAAATCCATTGAAAAATGACAAAAACCTGGTGGATTTCCTTTTCTTACTACATGAAAAACTCAATAAAATGCAAAGTTCACTAAACGCTGATGAGCAGATAACTTACATTGTAAACAGCTTAACACAAATTTTAGATAAATTTTGCCCATTATCTCAGGTGAATAATAAAGCAAAACCAACTTGGATTACCCAGGATATTAAAAAGCAAATGCAAAAGAGAAACATGTTCTACAAAAAATGGATAATTGATCCAACTCCGACAAATTTAGAGAAATATAAATTGTCCCGAAATTTAACCACATCGCTAATAAGAAATTCGAAACTAAAATTTTACCAACAAAAAATCGAAAAATCGAGAAACAATTAATGTATTTTTCAGGCATATAACGATTTCATACAAAGCAAAACATCTGCCAAAATAGAAGTTGAAGCTGATGTCTTCAATCAGTTTTTCGCACAAATTGGTAATAAATTAAGTGGTAAAAAAGTCAATCATAAAATTGCCTTAAGGCATGTTAAATCTGTACCTAATTCAATGGTTTTTCAGGAAATAACAACAAAAGAAGTTTTTGATACAATTATTCTTATTAAAAATAAGGGGTCTTCAGGTCCGGATGGTATAAGTAATCAAATTTTGAAACTCTCGTCGACGGTTATTAGCGAACCTTTGTCAAAGTTATTTAATCAATGTATAAAGCAAGGAACGTACCCGAATGCATTAAAAATTGCAAAGGTGTTTCCGTTTTTTAAAGATGGTAATTGTCAACTACCAGAAAGCTATAGACCAATAAGTTTACTCAATTCGATAAGCAAGGTTTTTGAAAAGATCATTTTTGGCAAAATGTATAAGTTTCTAAGAAAATATCGAATTCTCATACCAGAGCAATACGGATTTCAACCTAAAAAAAGTTGCGCTGATGCTTTATTAGAATTTACCGAGTTCATTCGAGAAGTTATTGATAAACGCCGTTACGGTGAAACATTTTTCATCGATTTCCAAAAAGCTTTTGATACAATAAACCATGAGCTACTTATTCTTAAGTTAGATAAGTATGGAATAAGGGGTAAACTGAACAAACTTATCCGGAGTTATTTAACTGATCGCAAACAATATGTTGCTTTTGACCAAAAAGAATCTCGAATAGAACATTTAACATGTGGCGTTCCGCAGGGTTCTGTTTTAGGACCTCTGTTGTTTCTAATTTTTATTAATGATCTTCCGATTGTTTGTAATACAATTAAACCAGTTTTATATGCAGATGATACAACTTTATGTTATTCAGGTACAATAAGGACAAATAAATTTGAAAACGAAATGAAAAATATTGAAAAATGGATTGATTGTAATGGCCTGACAATCAACTGTAAAAAGATCGTTTTTATGAGTTTCGGTAAAAATGTTGAAATGATCAATGTATTTGGAGATAATTTTCAATCGAACTACCAATTGCCTGTTAAATATTTGGGATTAAAAATTGACAATAAACTGAGTTTTAAGCAACATATATGTGGCATTGTTAAAAAGTTATCAACTTTCTGTGGAATAGTTTACAAATGTCGTGAAGTTTTTCCGAAAGCAAGTCTTCTGTTGTTTTACAGAGCATAGGCTCAATCCGTAATTCTTATTTATGGCAATACATATAAAACACAACTCGATTCAATTTTAAAACTACAAAAACGCATCACGCGGGCTATATTCTTCAAACGCAAATTTGAACCAATAACCCAATATATGAGTGAAAACAAAATTTATTCAGTCTTTAATATGTTTCTGAAGTCTCTCTTCAAAGAATTATTTGAAATTTTGAGATGCCCCGATAAGAATAGTTTTTTTGAGTTTATCGAGCCTAGAAAAGCTTCCTCACACCCGCAGCAAGACTAAAAAACAAATTACAAATATAGCTTTTAAATCAAACGCCATGAAATTCTCTCTTAAACGTAGGCTAGCAATAGCATATAATTTTGTTTTTCAGAATAATTTACTTCCAAAAGATTTTTTCGAATTAAATAAATCAGAACTGAACCGTTTTCAGGAATCTTTTTTCCATAATTATATTTTTGATAATGAGTTCTTACACAAACTGCTCTTTAATTGATGCCCACTCTGGAGACTTTATGTCTCTGCTCTTTAAGTTCTCGAGGTGTCCCACTCGATGAGATGAAATTCTCTTTGGGTCACCCTCCATGCCTTATAATTGTATTCATTACTGTTGTAATGTAGATGGTAAATTAAATAATAAAAAAGTTAAATGAATTCAATTTTTTTTTAAATATACATCATTGAGGTTCTTTGACGCTTTTTCAATTTTCTGATGGCGATATATTTTCTACAATTCTCGAGCTCCTTAATCTTTTCCCATGATTTTTCTCCCAATGATTTGTATCATTATAAGTGATCACTTAAAGATGAATTTAATATATTTATAGGGTCTTACGGTGTTTAGGCACCTAAATTTGACGGCGATTCAATCCCATAGAATTTGAGCTAAATTGCTTCTCCAGTGAATTTTTGAGTAAATTGTATTCGTTCGCTTCGCTCTAAATTGGAATTTGGCAAAAATGAGTATGTAAATCCAAAACTACACCCATGTCCCCTCTAATTGTGGCAACTACAAAGAAGGTATAGGTTGATTAAATAGTTCATCCTAGAAATTGGTTTAGGTTACTAATTTTGATGACATCAGCAAACACTCTCTGCTATGTGTGTCACAAGGAGAGTCGTTTGTGAATCACTCGGATGCAAAACGGAAACTGTTTCTCAAAGCCAGGTGGGCCAGAGACAAGCGACTGGGAAGAGAACAGCCCCAAACTGCCATAGTTGAACCCAGAATCAATCCACTGGCCATGGTATGTTTTGCTAGAAAGTGTATGGGTTCTTTTCCAGTGTCCCACCCCTCAATTTTTGTTGGACTTTCGCTTCGTAAAATTCGTGAAAATTCCATTCATATGTCAGGATTATTTTGATACTCTGCGAATGCGAGGGGGTGCGAATCTGAAGAAGAGCCATTTAACGCGCAGATACATTTAATATTGGTATTGTAGCGCAGTTGTAATGATACTTGGCAACAAATCATTAGATTATTGGTTAGGACTCGCACGTACGCAATGGTATGCAATGTGAGCTCTTACCATTTAATCACAACTTAGTTAAGCTTGAAATGTTAACTCCAGGGTTAGGTCTATGATTATGTAACAATATACTAATAGATTATGAATGACAATTTAGTTTTGTTAATGATTTGCAGGAGTAGCTTGAAAGGGGAGGGGCGCAGAAGTTGTAAGACAATTAGAGACTTTCCAGTGATATACGGGAGCTTGGAAAAGCAATTTGGTCGACCTATAAAAATTTTTTACATTTTGAAAATCATGTTTCGAAAGAAATCTATCTAGATTTAGAAATCTTCTGATAGAATACGGTGAGCTTTTCTTTCAGGCTTCCGTTGGAAACGGTATTGCATCTACCTTATTTTAATTGTGTGCTGTTTGATTTTGAAGTGGCCATCGCAATACCATCTTCTCATGTTATCAAGCCTTTCGTGTCTTCTTCAATTTTTCGGTGGCCTAGCGATTCCGACTTTTGAAAGTATCGGGATTGTTATGCTTGGGACGGTTTTTTTTCCAGACCAGTTTTGACTTTTTTATGACCCATTTTTGACTGATGCCTTGAACTCAAAATCAAAAAGATATTTTACCTGCGACTTTGTTGCATAAAGTTATGGGGGTTTTGAAAATTGCCAATTTGGGATAGCTTTTCGAGCTATTTATCAACTTACTATCAACGCATAGCGTGTGCGGCGAGTGAAATCATTCGAAGTTGAATTGAGGCAATCTTAATCATTCTAATTTGCTTGTGACTAAATGAGATGTCGATTGAGCATGGGAAAAAGATTTAACAGAAAGAAAAAAATTCGAAAAAAACTACTGCAGATACCTTACCGTGCCATTGATAAATTTTAGGCTTTGCCCTTATACGAGTAGTAATGCTGCTTAAAGTTTCATCTACATTGTAGAAATTTTGTCCAGCGTGCCTAATTGTTGTGATAAACTTATTAAATAGTTTCAGAGAGGGCAGATGGATTCGATTAGTAATGCTACTGATGGAAAGGATATTTCAATTGAGAGAAACACAGATGTGCCGGAACTGAGGTATCATGATCAGACTCCAGTATCAAAACCAACACCAAAACGGCCAAATATTGTACTGAGCCCATGTGACGAAGAAAATTCAGAGGACGATGTGACTGGGAAGCTGAAGCATACCATTGAAGAGTCAATGAAGTTGTTGATACCCAGCCTTGTAGAGCAAATCAAAGCGCAACTAATGACTGCAATCAACGTCGCTGTTGAGTCCGCAATAAACAACGTGAAGAAGGAAATCATCTCATCCTCCAAAATGGAAATATCATCTCAGGCGAATTTCAGCTATCTTAGGACTTTATCTGAAGCAGAAAAACTTGAATCATATAATCGACGAGATAACCTAAGAATTCTAGGAATCCCCGAGTGTTTGGAAGGTGAGAATAATCGTGAGAACTGTGATACAACAATAGCGAAGGTAGTGGAGATTTCTCATGATATTGGTGCAAATGTGCGAGCGTCAGATATCTCAATAGCTCATCGATTGCCATCTCGATCAAATAGAGGCAAACCAATTATCGTTCGTTTCGCCAGAAAAATCGCCAAAATCAACTTGCTGCGAAACAAAAAAAAAAGATGGCAGATAAAGAAGGTTTGAAAAATATAAGCGTCTTTGAAGACTTATCAAAGGCTCGTGTCAATTTCATAAAAATGATGAAGAGTGATTGCCGTATTAAATCTGCGTAGACCCGAGAAGGTGTAATCCATTATATATGGAGGGCAGACCAGCGACTATATCGTATCGATGGATTTTATGAAGGCGGGAGTTCCTTGAAATACAGATTTCAAGATGTGATGAATTGCTTCCAAAGTGTTTTCCACGAGGCAGGAGATAAAGGAGGATCGTAAACAATCTAGTGATGTTAATGTCGTTAATTCAAAACCAAATATTTCACAGAATAACAGTACTTTAATTAATAAAACTGAGAATTCCAAAGTTTCGGTGCTACATTTAAATATAAGATCTTTAAAACCGCACTTCGACAAATTGCAAGCACTTATTCTAAGCCTTGAGTCTCCACCTGATATAATTTGTATAACGGAAACTTGGTTAACAAAAAATGATCCCATATTAATATAGCTTTTAAATCAAACGCCATGAAATTCTCTCTTAAACGTAGGCTAGCAATAGCATATAATTTTGTTTTTCAGAATAATTTACTTCCAAAAGATTTTTTCGAATTAAATAAATCAGAACTGAACCGTTTTCAGGAATCTTTTTTCCATAATTATATTTTTGATAATGAGTTCTTACACAAACTGCTCTTTAATTGATGCCCACTCGGAGACTTTATGTCTCTGCTCTTTAAGTTCTCGAGGTGTCCCACTCGATGAGATGAAATTCTCTTTGGGTCACCCTCCATGCCTTATAATAGTATTCATTACTGTTGTAATGTAGATGGTAAATTAAATAATAAAAAAGTTAAATGAATTCATTTTTTTTTAAATATACATCATTGAGGTTCTTTGACGCTTTTTCAATTTTCTGATGGCGATATATTTTCTACAATTCTCGAGCTCCTTAATCTTTTACAATGATTTTTCTCCCAATGATTTGTATCATTATAAGTGATCACTTAAAGATGAATTTAATATATTTATAGGGTCTTACGGTGTTTAGGCACCTAAATTTGACGGCGATTCAATCCCATAGAATTTGAGCTAAATTGCTTCTCCAGTGAATTTTTGAGTAAATTGTATTCGTTCGCTTCGCTCTAAATTGGAATTTGGCAAAAATGAGTATGTAAATCCAAAACTACACCCATGTCCCCTCTAATTGTGGCAACTACAAAGAAGGTATAGGTTGATTAAATAGTTCATCCTAGAAATTGGTTTAGGTTACTAATTTTGATGACATCAGCAAACACTCTCTGCTATGTGTGTCACAAGGAGAGTCGTTTGTGAATCACTCGGATGCAAAACGGAAACTGTTTCTCAAAGCCAGGTGGGCCAGAGACAAGCGACTGGGAAGAGAACAGCCCCAAACTGCCATAGTGGAACCCAGAATCAATCCACTGGCCATGGTATGTTTTGCTAGAAAGTGTATGGGTTCTTTTCCAGTGTCCCACCCCTCAATTTTTGTTGGACTTTCGCTTCGTAAAATTCGTGAAAATTCCATTCATATGTCATATGTCAGGATTATTTTGATACTCTGCGAATGCGAGGGGATGCGAATCTGAAGAAGAGCCATTTAATGCGCAGATACATTTAATATTGGTATTGTAGCGCAGTTGTAATGATGCTTGCCAATAAATCATTAGATTATTGGGTAGGACTCGCACGTACGCAATGGTATGCAATGTGAGCTCTTACCATTGAATCACAACTTAGTTAAGCTTGAAATGTTAACTCCAGGGTTAGGTCTATGATTATTTAACAATATACTAATAGATTATGAATGACAATTTAGTTTTGTTAATGATTTGCAGGAGTAGCTTGAAAGGGGAGGGGCGCAGAAGTTGTAAGACAATTAGAGACTTTCCAGTGATATACGGGAGCTTGGAAAAGCAATTTGGTCGACCTATAAAAATTTTTTACATTTTGAAAATCATGTTTCGAAAGAAATCTATCTAGATTTAGAAATCTTCTGATAGAATACGGTGAGCTTTTCTTTCAGGCTTCCGTTGGAAACGGTATTGCATCTACCTTATTTTAATTGTGTGCTGTTTGATTTTGAAGTGGCCATCGCAATACCATCTTCTCATGTTATCAAGCCTTTCGTGTCTTCTTCAATTTTTCGGTGGCCTAGCGATTCCGACTTTTGAAAGTATCGGGATTGTTATGCTTGGGACGGTTTTTTTTCCAGACCAGTTTTGACTTTTTTATGACCCATTTTTGACTGATGCCTTGAACTCAAAATCAAAAAGATATTTTACCTGCGACTTTGTTGCATAAAGTTATGGGGGTTTTGAAAATTGCCAATTTGGGATAGCTTTTCGAGCTATTTATCAACTTACTATCAACGCATAGCGTGTGCGGCGAGTGAAATCATTCGAAGTTGAATTGAGGCAATCTTAATCATTCTAATTTGCTTGTGACTAAATGAGATGTCGATTGAGCATGGGAAAAAGATTTAACAGAAAGAAAAAAATTCGAAAAAAACTACTGCAGATACCTTACCGTGCCATTGATAAATTTTAGGCTTTGCCCTTATACGAGTAGTAATGCTGCTTAAAGTTTCATCTACATTGTAGAAATTTTGTCCAGCGTGCCTAATTGTTGTGATAAACTTATTAAATAGTTTCAGAGAGGGCAGATGGATTCGATTAGTAATGCTACTGATGGAAAGGATATTTCAATTGAGAGAAACACAGATGTGCCGGAACTGAGGTATCATGATCAGACTCCAGTATCAAAACCAACACCAAAACGGCCAAATATTGTACTGAGCCCATGTGACGAAGAAAATTCAGAGGACGATGTGACTGGGAAGCTGAAGCATACCATTGAAGAGTCAATGAAGTTGTTGATACCCAGCCTTGTAGAGCAAATCAAAGCGCAACTAATGACTGCAATCAACGTCGCTGTTGAGTCCGCAATAAACAACGTGAAGAAGGAAATCATCTCATCCTCCAAAATGGAAATATCATCTCAGGCGAATTTCAGCTATCTTAGGACTTTATCTGAAGCAGAAAAACTTGAATCATATAATCGACGAGATAACCTAAGAATTCTAGGAATCCCCGAGTGTTTGGAAGGTGAGAATAATCGTGAGAACTGTGATACAACAATAGCGAAGGTAGTGGAGATTTCTCATGATATTGGTGCAAATGTGCGAGCGTCAGATATCTCAATAGCTCATCGATTGCCATCTCGATCAAATAGAGGCAAACCAATTATCGTTCGTTTCGCCAGAAAAATCGCCAAAATCAACTTGCTGCGAAACAAAAAAAAAAGATGGCAGATAAAGAAGGTTTGAAAAATATAAGCGTCTTTGAAGACTTATCAAAGACTCGTGTCAATTTCATAAAAATGATGAAGAGTGATTGCCGTATTAAATCTGCGTAGACCCGAGAAGGTGTAATCCATTATATATGGAGGGCAGACCAGCGACTATATCGTATCGATGGATTTTATGAAGGCGGGAGTTCCTTGAAATACAGATTTCAAGATGTGATGAATTGCTTCCAAAGTGTTTTCCACGAGGCAGGAGATAAAGGAGGATCGTAAACAATCTAGTGATGTTAATGTCGTTAATTCAAAACCAAATATTTCACAGAATAACAGTACTTTAATTAATAAAACTGAGAATTCCAAAGTTTCGGTGCTACATTTAAATATAAGATCTTTAAAACCGCACTTCGACAAATTGGAAGCACTTATTCTAAGCCTTGAGTCTCCACCTGATATAATTTGTATAACGGAAACTTGGTTAACAAAAAAAGATCCAAGTGAAAGCTGGTTAATCAATGGTTATAATCAGTATTTTACAAAAAATCGCGAAACACCAGGTGGTGGTGTAATGATCCAAGCAAGAAACACATGCTGCTTGCTGAATCAACTTGATTCATTTTCAGAAGAAAGCTTAACGGTCGATATCTTAAAAAATGGCTATAAATTCTCATTATGTGTGATTTATAACCCACCAAAATCAAACAAAATGCAATTCATTGATAGGCTTGATGAGTTTTTGGAAAATTCAAAAAGTGCAAATCATCCGTTCATTCTTTGTGGTGATTTTAACATTGATATAATACCTGATAACTTCCTGAGCCAAAATTATTTAAATTGTATTCATTCAAATGGTTTTACGATAAACGGTCGTGAACCAACCCGCGTTACAGCCACCTCTTCAACTTGTTTGGATCATTTCATTTTCGACAATTTAACTGAACCTCATTCAATGGTACTAAATAGTGAACATTTATCAGATCATTATCCAATACACTTGGAATGGGTCAATAAGTGTCAAATTGTTAATAATGAAATTCCGTTTCGCGATACATCATTCCTAAAAAATCGGAGCCAAGTTGAAGAATTTTTAAAAATTGCGGAAAGTAAATTGGCCTCACATAAAATAGTAATTTTTGAAATGAATGATGCAGATGCAGCTTTCAATTTGTTCGCAAAATCTTTCGAAGAGGTATTGAATATGTTTGCACCATTAAAAACCAAGAAAAATTTGGTCACAAAGCAACCCGCCTGGTACACAAATAAACTTAAAAACCTTAGAACAAAGCGAAATAATGCACACAAAAAGTGGAAGTTGAATCAGAATAATTATCAACTGCTTCAAACGTTCAGAAGTTTAAGAGATCGTTTTGAGAAAGAAATAAAATTATCTTAAAAGAATTATTATTGGAACAAATTCAAAAACTGTATAGGAGACTCAAGGCAGACATATAAAATTTTAAACGATATCAGTGGTAAAAGTAACAAAAACAGCAAGATTCCTCCATTGCAATCATGCATTGATGAAAACGATAATGCAACAGACAGAGATGTTGCTGATAAATTTAACTATTTTTTCACAACAGTTGGAAAAGGACTTCAAAATGATGTTCCTAATGTTGATAGGTTTAACGTTGAATATGTTCCATATTCCATGCTTCTGAAAAAAACATGCGAAACAGAAGTTTTTAAAGTCCTAAATTACCTAGATAATAAAAGCTCGTCCGGTGATGATAACATCAGTAACCTTATTGTGAAAACTTCAGCGAAAGTCGTGGCACCATATCTAAGCTTCTTAATCAACTTATCATTCACAAAAGGCGTGTTTCCTAAAGAACTTTGTAAAGTGAAAGTACTGCCGCTTCATAAAGATGGATCAAAACTTGATGAGAACAATTATAGACCAATTTCACTTTTAATTGTTTGGAGTAAAATCTATGAGCGCATTATGTATAACCGTGTTTACTCTTATTTAGAGTTTTTTTCTCTCTCTCTTTTATGCAAAACAATTTGGTTTTCGTAATAAGCATGGCACAATTGATGCACTTGCTGAACTTAACGAAAGAATTAGAATGTATTCTTCGATTGAAATTTTTAGTTTTTTCCTTGACTTGAAGAAAGCTTTTGACACTTTTGACCATAATATCTTGCTATACAAATTGGATATGTATGGGTTTAGGGGTAACTGTTTAAAATGGTTGAGCTCATATCTCAGTAATCGCATACAGCGAGTTGTAGTAAATGGTGTTTCATCTAGCTGGAGTAAAATAGAATGTGGTGTACCACAAGGCTCAATTTTAGGTCCTTTGCTTTTTCTATTATATATAAATGACCTCCCTAAAGCATGCGAAACATCGGAAGTGTTGCTATTCGCAGACGATACGAATCTAACATCAATAGGTTGTCAAATAATTGACGTTCAAAAAGACATGACGTCTTTAAATAACTGGCTACATGCAAATAAATTGGTGATTAACCTATCCAAAACAGTTCAAATGAATGTAAAGTTAAGTGCTTCCAATCATTTATTTCAGTTAAACTCTTGCTCGATAAATACGAAACCTGTTTGTAAATATTTAGGCATTTACATAGACTCCAAATTTTCTTTTAAAAGTCATATCGATTTCGTCAAAAAGAAACTTAGTAAACAATGCGGTATAGTTTCAAAGCTACGGCACTACGTGCCGAGGTCTCAAATGATCGAATACTACAGTAGCAATGTCGTTCCCATTCTCCAGTATGGCATTTTAATTTATGGATGTTGCAGCTATTCGCAGCTGGAACAACTTAATGTTTTACAAAAGAAAATCCTCAAATTCATTTTTTTCAGAAAACGTCGAGATCGTAGTAATGATATTTTTGAAAAAATAGTTTGTTAACCGTTTATGAGTATCATCTCTATGAGCTATTAAAATTGGTTCTTAAATCTTAAATCAGTTATTGGTGTTCATAATGATAGCTTTCTGAATGATTTATTTGTTTTTCAAAATGCAAAAAGAGCTACTAGAAATTCTGATAGCAGCCTTCTGTTCGAACCATTTTGTAAACGCAAAATTGAGCGCTTCTCGATTCGATATTGCGCTTATAAACTTTTTAATAAACTGTGGGTTCTGAATTTGATACCTGCACACGTCAAAAGTTGTTCTTTATCAGAAATTTCGGCAATTTATCATTCTTTGAAAATATACCTGGTACAAAACCATGAATTAGTGAAACATATATTTGGCTTATAAAAAAAAAATTTTTAAACCCATACCCGTTGGTTGCACGCTACAGGACTGCCAGCTATATATCAGCTTTTTTGTGTAAAAAAATGACCTCCCAAATTTTTGATTTTTTTTGGATTTTTCTCACTAATTTTTTTCGAAAAACTTGAGAAAAAAAAAAAAAATTATACATATAATATTACAGCGCCCTGGAAGTATTGTTAAGTTTAGTACTGTTAAGTTCAGTAGTTAGTTAATGTCAACTTAAATTTATAAATAGATATAATTTTTTTTTTTCACGAGCTGTAGCTTTTGTATTTAAATAAAAATATATTTGCTCTCATTGTTTAATTTGATTTGTTTCATTAGAGATGTTTCATTTGAATAGAAGGGTAGACTTTTAGTGGACCAACAGGTCCCGTTGTCTATCCGTTCCTGTTTAAATGTGGCAAATTTAATTAATGCTGATATATTATTTATAAAAGGAAAAATATATTCTTTCTTTCTTTCTTTCTTTCCTTTAGACCATCTTAACTTTTTGAAATAAATTTATTACGGATTTTTGTTTTCTGTCACTAAAAACAAAAACCCACGTTTCACTGAACTTAAAAGTCAAATATTTTTATCCTTGAAAATGTGTGCAGCGGATGGGTTTTCAAAAAAGAATGAAAGTTTTCATTTCTTTTCAATGAAGTTTTGTATAAATGTAAAACCCAAAAGCTATTTATTATAGTTTGAAGGGCAATCAGAAGATTCGTGAATATGCCCTGTTATGAGAAGGACAAGTTCCTAAAATCGCCCTTGCTATGAGCAGGACAAATTTAGGAATTTGCCTTGTTGGCAGTGTTAAATTCTAATGAGTCTACTTGCTTCAGCCTTATTTAGGGTAAAGATCCCTCCTGTTTTTCAGTTTTTTTTTCAGTTTTTCAGTTTTTTTCGAAGATGTGCCACTTTTTTAAAGCTTTTTGCTTAGTAACCAAAAGCTTGTCTTCTATTCTGTGTCAAAGGTAACTTCAAAGTTTTTCTCCAATTTTGAAAATGGCGTGAAAAATTTTATTTCAATTTAAGTTTGAAAGTTGGTTTAGCTTCTAGGTTTTTTATAATAATGTTTGGGCACCTTTACAGCTTTTTGATAGCATGTGCTTTGAAATTCGAATTTTAATAAGTTAACAAAGTAGGTGCATTTTTAATTCATCAAATGAACCGAAAAAAGTGATTTATTTCAAACAACATAACAGAAATGAAACTCGATTTCAGAAATTTAACTCAATATATCTCGCAATTTTTTGAAATGTGGCTTTATGCTTTGCGATTTAATACTTGCAAAGTTAGTGTGGATGCATTCATTTTGTTATATTCTAAATTGTTACATGCAAAATTGAGTCTATTTGTATTTGGTGCCACTTTTGCTGAATGGCATTGGCAAGTTATTAGCATATGTAGCTGCTTTATTCGTGACTTGTGTTTGTCAGTTGTTAAGCTTGCGTGGCTGAGTGGGTAGTGCGCGAGACTCAAAATCTCTTGATTGCAGTAGGTCGCAGATTCGAATCCTAATTCGAGGCTTATTCCTTTTTTTCTTATTTCACTTGATAGCTGCTTTTTGTTCGTGTTCTTGCAAGTGTTTGCAAAGCGCAGCTTCGCCTCTGTGTTAATTTATAAAACTGCAGCTGGTGTTATATAACGAGGCAAATTTCGATCAAAATAAGGTTATTCAGTGTCTTTTTGACAGTTCATATTTCGCGATTTGATGCAGTTTTTGTTATGTCGGCTAAATGAAGTTGCATGTTATTTGGTTGGTGTCAGATTTTTTTGCTGATTTGATATTCCTCGATATCAATAAAGATGTTTCCTGAGTTATTTGATTCGTTGAACTGCATGCAGTTTGCTTCTGGGTGTCAAAATGTTAATAGGAGTCCCTGAATCAACTTTCAGGGGTTGTAATGTGCCCTCAAAACCTCCAGCTGAAAATGTATTTTATTTATTCGGTCGGTGCTTTGAAGTCATCTAAACTTTTCCAAAGCATATTGATAGTGTACGCTTATGGCTGTGGTTTGAAACTGGCTCTCATTTCAGGTGAACCCACTTGGAGCTTCCTGCTACACGGTACAGAACAAACGAGCTAGTGACGCAATCGTGGAAAGTTCCATCACATTCCTAACTCAGTTGCCAGTGTCTTGATTTCCACGAGGGAATGATGTTTGATATGATGCAACTATAATTGTACAAATGTGAATATGATAGATTTATCCAGCAAATTGTAAATAATTGTCTAAATTTTTCTCGAATTTGGTTGCAATTCAAAGCGTAAATTTTAGAAGCTATTTGTTCTTGTTCCGACCAATCTTAAAAAATGTCAACTGAATACGTCCCGCAGTTGGCTTTCCCTTAATTTCAAGTATCTCAGTGCATTTTTCTATGTAGATCATAATAAAACTCTCTCCACCAGGGTTTGGATTTCAAAAAGATTCTGCGAACAAGTCCACTCATGGTTGAGAAAAACGAGCGTGAGTTTTTTTCCATTCAGGCTCAAGTTTTGCTAAAAGAGGAGAGCGTCCGATTTACTTCGTTCTTCAGCTCCCCAAAATTGAGTCATTCTTCGTTTCAACAATTTCTTTCTAAAAGTAAAAGAAGGAAGTAATTGTCTCCCACATAGAACGTTATGATTTTTTCTGGTTTTTTGTCGGGAAAATATCTCTAGAGAAAAATATGTTCACGCTCAAATTTTATTTTTCGCGGTTTGACTTTTAAAATTCGAGTCAATGCCCTTGTTAAAAAAAATAAAATTATAAACTTACCCATAAGTGCACTTTTGTCTAAAAGAGGAAAAAAGTGCCCATCATGACCAAAATTTTTGAAGTTCGAAGATCTTTAACTCGGAATATACATATTTTCTAAATTCTGAAGTTAAAAATTGCTTAAATATTTTCAATCAATTATCTTTCGGTTTTCCTAGAGCTCTTTCACTTTTCTCCAATCATCCATATGTTGCTTATGTTTATTTTTCATACCATTGGATTAAAAAGTTTTTAAAAACTTTTGATACGCATATTATTTTTTGGGCTGATCATTGTTACGACCGAAGACAATATGGAGGAACTTTATATTTGGGTATATTTTAGTATTTTTTGCAAAATCAGTGCCACAATTAATTACCGAAATGCGTCGAGTGATATATCAAATTGAAGCCCTTTCAGACTTTCAAAAAGTTTTCTTGTCGAGAAAAACGGGTATCAAATTTTTGAGTCTTAGACTAGTTTCGAGCGATTAAATTGGTTGAGTAACGTTCGTTATTTACGCTAGGGATCAGTTTATGTTTTTATTACGAACCTTTTTTTTTCTAGCCTAACTATTAATAAAAAGTATTCATTAAAATTGTTCACGTATTTGGAAATTTCACTGTATCGTTGCAAATTGATATGATCTGCTCTCTACTTTTTTTGGCTTGTCTTTGGTACCCATTAAGCGTCCGTGGGTGATTGATAAGTGTGTGAAAGTCTTAATCTATAGGTCGCAGGTTCTAATCTCAGACATGGCCGATTTTTTTTACTAATTCGAAGCTTATTTCTAATTTTTCTTATTGCACTGCGTTGTGTTCTGGCTAGTGTTTGCGAAGCGAAGGAAATTTTCTGACTTTTCCTGAAAAACAACTAACAAAAATCATCAAAACCTATATGAAAGTCGTCACTAAGTTCTCTTTTTTAGTATTGTGCAGAATTTTTTTAAAGTATTGTGCAGAAATATTATCAAACAAAAAACGGAAAAAAAAATCCAAAAAATTCTATTCTTATTTTGTGAGGCAACTTTTGTCGGTTATGGCTAAATTAATTTTAAAAATTATATACTCGTTTGGCTATTTCTTTCACCGCACCGCGCAAAGAATTTGTATTGTAGTTTTTTATGAAATGGTCGAAACATTCTATGGTACTTGCACAACAACCGGCTATCCTTGTTTCAATGTGATTTTTCCTTTTTTTGTACTTTCGACTATTTGTTTTTAGTCAAAAGAGAATAAATTAGTTACAAAGCTGCAAGAAGTTGACATAAAAATAATCAAAATAGCTTTAAAGTTGTAGAAAAACAACTTCAAAATTGTAGTTAAGATGTCAGCCTTTCAATTTATATCTAATTTAGTGTGAAAACCGAAATTATTTTGACTCTTTTTTTCTCGAAACTGAGACAACTTCGGAAGTTTTTTGGTCGCCAAATTACGACTGAAAGGGCTTTAATTTGATACTACACTTGACTATCTACGTGCTTTTTTGAGGCAGTCAAAATCGATCGAAAACAAAACTAGCTAATCCATAATTCCTTCCAGTTACTTTCAGTGAAGCGCTCGGAACGATAATATGAAAAACTCAAGTTGGGGCTGCGATATAGGCATTGCATTATTAAGTGCCAATGAACGAAAAGAAGACACTAATTAAGGTTGTGTTTTTTATGCAGCACGGAAAGTTTTTCGCGCTCAATTGAATTTTCGAGGCTTGACTTTTTTTTAAAATTTCCTTTGTTTTTTTTTTATTTTGCGTGCCAATGCCAATTGGAAGGAAGTTTATGCTCTCTAATGACATAATAATTGAACATGGTGCAAAGACAAACCTGATTGATTTTCAGCTTCAAGTTTGTGTTTCATTTTTAAAGTTACTATTGATCCTGTTTTCTCGAATAAGATTACTTCATCTAAAAAGTGTTTTGGAGATTGAATAAGCTTTAAAGTGATATAATTTTTTCTCAATTGCTCAAAATTTATTAGAAAAAAAATCAATCATTTTCTGATTTCCATCAGATCATTGACACTTTTCCAACTTCCTGTTCGCCATATTATTTTTGTTCTAGATAGTTATATGCTTGCTATTTTGATGTCTCATCTGACATGATGTAACTGTAGATGGTTTTCAAGAAGCCGTGACTGTTTCTCAATTAATATATAAAGATGGAGTCCAGAGCACGTTTGTTGATTAAAAGAGAACTGGAGCGACTTAAAAACAGTCCTCTCTGGGTATGTTTATAGAGCTTTTTCAGTACAAAGTTATATAAGTTTTTTGTACTAGATTGAAACTAATCTAGATATATAATACTGCGGTTCTATTACTAGATTCAGAAGCATTTGGATATACAGTTACTGATAAATTGATTTTAAAAAACTTAACTCCATGTTCAACATTTTTTGACACTACTAACTAATACAGAATTGAGACAAGACAGTAAGGCCAAAATCCAGCTCAATTGTGAGCCGCCAATGCTATCTGTTTCTATTGCGATCTCTAGTGTGTTTTTATTTAACCAATACTTGGATCACTAATGTTCGAATTCAGGGCGTGGAAATTGAGTTATACATAGATGACAACATCTTCGTCTGGAATGTCAAACTAAGAGGACTTCGACATACTATATGGGAAGGTACGCATATGGAAGTTCATGTTTCCATTTATAAGACAATGTTTGGGTTAATATCTGACCCTCCCTGATTGAAATTTTTCTTTTTTTTATAATTCTTTTGCATGGTGTTCGACCCGAGTGCTTGAAATTGGGATATCATTTATCACTGAATGTGTCCTCAAGCAAAATATTATTGCATTACAGTATAACAACGATAAATTATTTTTTCAAAATGAAAGTTTAACGGTTGAAATGAGCTCAATGTGGAATGATTGTTATTTTGGCTGAATTTAAAATGCTGAATTTAAAAATGTTTTAAATTAATAGTAGTCAAGTTTGAGAAGTCCCAATCATGTGCTTTTCTGCTCTCAATCATGTGAAGTGGTTTTTTTCAGCCGGAGTATTCCGAGTGATTGTGCAATTCAGTCCTGACTTCAACTACGTGCCCCCTAACATATGGTTCCACACAATCCCCTTCCACCCAAACAGTGAGTAACCGTCATTTTTTGTCATTCATTAAAATGACCCGGCCAAGTTTCCATTGGGTATCATTGCGACTATGTAGTAGGGATTTGTATCGACGAATCATGGTCGTTGAATAGAGTAAAGGCCTTCAGTGGCTCGACTATAAACAGGAAGTGGAACTAGTTTACAGATCCTGTGATTCCACGGATTGATTATTAGTGAAGCTCGGATGAATTCTCCGATTAATTAAGTTGCATTTGAAATTAAATAAAACTGTGAAAGAAGTGAACCGATTTATTCTGAAACTCTGTATAGCAGCTGTTTGTCGGCCGTTTAGTTGATATGACAACTGGGCGTCCGTGTCTGAATCTGTTGCAGTCCTGGTGGTCAGAAGACGTCACAATGCACTCCATCTTCATTTCACTACAGGTAAACAAATACTATTCACACCTCAACCTCCTGTTTTACTGGTCGAAAAGAAACCAATAACACCAGTTTAAAGAAGATTTCAAAGAAGGTAAATTTTGAGTCATATTTTAATACGTTATTTTTGTTTGATTGCGTAAATTCAAATTTATAGAGGAGTAAAACTTTTTTGATGACTCCTTCATAAAATCGAGTTTGGGCCCTCGCATAGAATTTACAGTATCGGAAAATGACTCAAATTGTTTATATTTTCTGTTTTTTAACTAGATCTCGATTTAAGCATCAAACTACACTTTGTCTTTTGAGCATCGAAAAGAGTTAGCAACCTCAACATGATTACATTTTTGTTGCTTTTGACTTACAGGGCTACCAAAATCTCATAATCGAACTTACTGATCATGATTTCGTTTTTTAAAGGAAATGCTGTCCAATCCAATTCTGGAAGGAGCAGTTAATGAAGAGGCAGCCCATGCTTTGATTAATGTCCCCGAAATCTACAACAAAATGTGCCAAGACTGCATTCAAGCCAGCATTCGCGTCAATGGTGAGTCCAATCACATCCATCAATCTTACTTTTTGATTTCGAGTTATTGGTCGTAGTCGGTGTTCTTAGCATGAATTAGTCTTACTTTTGTTTTGCGTGATGGGTGTTGTCAGTAACTTGGGGGGATTGGAACCACTAATAGTGTCAATGCGCTAGCTAGACGCAGAGTATTTACATGAAATTGAGCTTCGAAATTGATGATTAGTACTTCATAACTCTTAAATTTTCCCTTTTGTAGCCGGTCTTCCACCTTTTGATCCGACAGATGAGCTCAGTTTCATCAAGCAGACCTTTCCCACTCCTCGTGTAAGAGTAGAGTACCCTAGGTCGGCCGAGGAGAAAACGGCGACAGCGGAGGAGGCTAGGAGTCGGACCCAGTTGGTGTCTTTCGAAGAGTACCAGGACATGTGGCGGACGATGGGAACCTCGCTAGAAAAGAAAACTGAAGTGGCTTCTTCGGGTTAGCCTAATCAGTACCCTCGCGCATGTTCCATAGGCAAAATTACTGGGATCTTGCACAGTCCTCCACGCATCGGACGTACATATTCGTATCATGGTGTGCTTAGTAATTTTACAGGTTTAAATTCAGACCAAATTTTTATGAAATTATGTGCTTGGCATGTGTGCATTTTGTATAAGAATCGGAAAAGATAAACTGTTGGTTTTTAATGCATAGGCTAATTGCGTAGTTTCAAACACATACGGTCTGAATTTGCAACACTGTAGAATTATATACACCATAATTCATATGTATCTCTGGCGGGGCGGGGCATGGATTGGAAGAAAGATTAAATTACACCAAATAGACCGAAAGTCAATTTGAAATTGTATGAAATTGATTAAAGGGAAATAGTAAACTAGGATAACCGGTTACTGTGTAAGTAGCACAGATTGTTCTGAGTATAGTCTTTCAAAAATACAAAAAAAAAGTTTTTTCAAAGTAGGGTCGTTTTTTTGCGTGGTCTGATGAAAAGATCTTAACAAAAATATAGAACTTAGGGATATTCGACACTCACAGACAAATAGGCCAATAGGTAAACAGTTTTTGCAGAAAAAATACTAGAAAAACGAACAAAAATTGTTTAAAAAATTGTTAATAAACGTTTCAAATTTTTTTGAATCTTTCGACTCTCAAAATGGCGCGAAAACACTCCAAAAACTCAGTTTTCATGGTTTCAATTCAGCATAAATAAGCTATTGTAATCCTAGTCGCTCACCTTATTAGCTCGCAATTAGAACAAAAATCATTCGTTTCTCAACCGGTTTTTCTCAACACTGGGAATTTTTTTGGAATCATTTAATGTCGTTCGAATAACGACTGAAAAGGTTTTTATATGATATCTCACTCAACCCAAACCAATGATTATTTGTAAAGTCCAGTTATTGCGTGGAAACCAAAAGAGTAAAAAGAAAAACTATAATTCACCTGAATATTAAGTTCCTCCACATTTTTCAAATGGTCCGAACAATAGCTATGGTTTCTCCTTTCGGACACACTTAATTATGGGCCAACTTCATGCTATATCAGTTGCTGTGAGGGCTGTATAAAATAACTTATAGATAGAATAGCATAAAATTTTGCCAGCTTCATTTAACTGTTTAATTTCTTGTCAAACGCTTCATTTCTTCTACTCTATTTTTGTTATGTTAAAGTTACGGTCCTCGTTGATGTGTACCAAATGCTAAAATGTGAATTAAGTCATGTTAAATTTTTTGCAATTTATCCAGGTCCCCATGGTAAGTCGCTGCACATCACCTTGAACTAAGTTTTCTAAAAATGGTTTTTGGAAATTATATAATCATTTATGTTTGCACGTTTTCTTGCAAGTTTTCATAAGAAATGTTTTCTTTTCAAATGCACTTCAATTGTGTTAAAGAAAAAAATTACTGATAAAAATTTTTTTGATTTGCCTGAAATTGTGCAAAAGGCATATGTTATTTAAAAATTTAATTATTTTGATGCGGAGGTTGTTTCAAATGAAGGTATTGGCTAGAAATGCTGGAAAATCTTTCCATCATTTTTTTAGCCTTGCGATAAGCAAGGGTGTTGCACTCGGGTACTAGACTGTTTTTCCCGTAAATTATTTTGTTCACAGGATGACTGAACAAAATAATTGTCATCTCTCTCCATCTGTGCTTTAGTCAGCCAACAGACAAATTTTGAGCAAGTCTGCATTTTATATTCCCGTTTTTTCGAAATTTGTTTTTTATGTTGATTGTAATCAGTATATCAGTTTTTTTTTGTTTTTCCTCTTGATTCGACTTTAAATAATTTTTTTTTCAGTTTATTTAGAAGGTAATTGGTTTGGTTTGCTTTTTCTTTTTCTCTCTTTTTATTCGGTTTAAAAGGTTTTAGCTGATAGCATTTCGGCTTAGCAGTCTCTTTTTGAGTGGTTATGAGTCATTGGTTATTTTAAATATAATGATTTGAGGGGTTTATTTTTTCAGTTTTCAACATTTTTTTTCGACGTAACGTGTGTCTGCCCCAGAATTGTCGGCTTTGTTACTGCTTTGTATGTTTTTTATGCCTATTAAACAATCATTTGTGTTACTTATTCGCATATTTTTTTGAAACGAATTTTTTTCGAGACAAATGAAGACATAAGAATAATTTTTGGTAGATCAATTTTTTCGATATTTTTCGAAAATTTTTCATCTGCGACTTTCATGTCGGTTTTTTGTCGGTTAGTTTGCAGTGCTTTGTATGTGTTATATCGCAAATGGTGCGCAATGGAGATTCAATTCGCCTCTGTGTTTTTATTTTCTTACTGGGCAGCAAAATCCTATTACATCACTTCATTCTTCCCCGACTTCTATTCGATCGCACATTCACATAATCATGACCTCGCTTCACTGACCTGCATCACTATAACTTCTCTCTTATTATGCAACATTTTTGACCTAATTACAATGAGTAATCAGATTCGCTCTTTTTCAGCCCAGATGCAGGAATACGAGTCTAATTCATTGTTCACCGAGGAGGAAATGAAAGAACATCTGCAAAAACAACTTGAACAGTACGTGTTTTAAATACCAGATTTTTCGTGGAGGTGACTTTGAGTCAAATGTCTAAAAATTGTATGCCTGTTACAATTCATATCACAGCTCCTATTCAATATGTTCTAACACAGCTTTCCAACAATTCCATCAATGATTATTGATCCGACTATTTCTGAAAAAAAGACGGAATATTTGCGCTCGGGGTGTTTTTTTTTCTCCAGACAAATTTCGACTTTTTAATTTAAAAAGTTTTGACGGTATTTTTTAATATCATTCGAAAGGTATCGTTGTGTACTTTTATATAGCGTGTGGGTCATTATTTTCGAATGAAATAAAAAAAAACATTTAAAATTTTTTCATTTTTTTTAATGTCACCCATTTTCCAAAAGCGTACTCTACTTCATACACCTTAAAATGCAGTTGGAACATTCAGGGCTTCGCCCTGATACGAGCAGTCTTGTTCACTTTTATTACACTTTTTTTTCCAATTATATTTTTACAGTACTACAGTATTCGCCCCATTTTCTGCTGTTTTTTTTAACAGCAAATGTTGATTGAATTAGAGTAATAGTTGCAACAACTCCAAGAAAAAAACTAAATTAATGAATTTTTTTCCTTTTAGTCTGAAAAACGGAAAAGATCAAGTATTCTGAATTCAGTCTAGTTTTTCTGGATGGCCGAAAGGGCTTTTTTTATATGATACCACACTTGAACCTCCACAAGATTTCTTTGGGGTTATCAAAACTGAGAAAAATCTAACCTAGCTTACGGTTCCCCCTTGATGAAGTAGACGGGAAAATAGAGTGCTCACAATCATGTAGTCTAATGATCTTTGTGTTTTCATGCTCTCCTTTCAAAAATTTTTAGACTCTTATATAAGTCAGTCGTAATGGTTTTTTCAGGAAATGTCTTAAAGTTTGCTTACGCTCAATGTTGATTAGGCAAACTCCGTTATCGAACAGCAAAGTTAAAAATTTTACAAAAAATGGGATCAACTTCTAGTTTCGAAAGTGGAATTTTCCAGCGGAATAAAACAAACTTTTGATGCAACATGAGTTAATGTAAGCAAAAAAAGTGTCAATCATAAATTGTTCTTAAAATTCTTTGAAGCCATATATTTTACTTTAATTTTTAAAAAGAATTAAGTCAATTTTTTTCTACTCGCGTTCATTGATTCTTTTTTTCTGTATGTTGGATGTGTTTTTAGCCTTGCAATAAGCAAGGGTTTTGCAAACGGGTACTAGACTTTTTTTCCGTAAACAACTTTGTCCGCACTTTTAGACGATCTCCTCTTCTAAAAGATCTTCACTTCTAGAAGATTTTCTGGTTTCAGGTTGTAATTATGATTTAAAGCTTGTAATTTCGGGTTGTAATTTTCTTTTCAAGTTTCAGGTTGTATTTATCTTTTCAAAAAAGATTCTCAATTTTTTTTGGGTTCGCGGTTTTCGACCTAGTTTCTCTTTGTTCCTTTTCCGTTTTTCAAACGCCATTCTTTATCTTAAAGTTTTTTTCTACTTTCTAAAGCATTGGTTTTTTTTTCCAATTTATAGAGTTTTTACTATAACTGAAACTTCCTATATGTGTAAATTTACCGTGTCTGATATTGAGTTTTTTAATTTTTTTTCGTGTTTTTTTTTCTTCAAATATTCAAACAGTTTCATTTATGGTACATCGACTTAGTCGACTTGTTTTGCGTAATTTCGAGGTTAAAAATATCTGTTTGTGATTATGTGTTTCAGTTTGGATGGGTCGTTAAAGTTTTTTTAAATTTTATGAAAATTTTTATCATAAAAGTTGTTTTCTACCCAAGGTTTGTTGCCTTTGTTGCCGCTTGGTAACTCTTTTCCTTTTTAAGGGCTGTTTATGAACTTCATCCTATAAATATGAAGTTTTTGAAGCTGTATTTTTTCGATTTTTGTCAAGTTACTTTTTCAAGGATTTTTTTTCAAGATAATTTTTTGGCTTCTGCCTTTTTTTCATTCACTATTTTGTTGCGCAATATGTTTTTTTGCATTGCCCGTGTTGTGAAGCTCCGCTTCACCTCTGTGTTTTTTTTGATGTCAAAAGCGAATGAACTTCACACAATTAACTCAAATAACTCAATCGCCTTAAATAATTAACCTTCGGGCTAGGCCTCTGGCTGGTTAATTCTGTGAACCGGAGAAAAACGAATATGTTTATTTTGTACCAAACATGGCGCTTTTGTATGACAACGAGTTTGATATATAATCGGATTTTGTTTCTATTTAATTCCTATTATATATCCTATGTTTAGCCTTCTTTTGTTTAGCCACACTGCCATAATGTACGGTCGGTTTGGGAAGCAGAATGTGAAGCCACCTGCGAAGAAGAACAGCAAGATGGAGAAGGTGGAGATGATGAAGAAAGTATACCTCAAACAACGCACCCTCAACAGTGAGTAGATAGACTTCTATGTTTAGAAGGGTAGAGTGACAATTCGTAACGGCAACAATTTAAAACAAGCGAAAATTCGTAATAAGGCATTGGCAAGTAGAATACGCTTGCTCCGCTTCGCTGTTCTGCGCTTACCTTGGGCACGAGAGGAATAGTGCGCTTAAATAAGTGTTTGCCACTTAAAGTGTTACCAATTTTCGCTTTTTGGAATTGTCTCCTGTTACGAATTGTCGCTTGGTACGAGTTATCGGTTCACGATTTAGTCGCAGTTAATGGGAAGAAAGGAAATTTTTGGGGCAATCCTCTTTGATTAAAATACTCAGAAAATCAATTTGAACGAATTAGAGTTGAATAATCAAAACTCTCAGAGAAACGGTGAAAATAATTTCAGGCAACAAAGTTTATATTAGCCGAGAAAGGGCTGGATTTTGGTTTTAGGAGAAAAATTGAATTCAAGATTATACCAGTCCGAAGAATTATTGATAAATTGTCTCTTTGCAAGGGTTCCAATTCTTTAAAAATGAAAATTTATTTATTCAATGCTATGAAAGAAGGTAATATTCTTTAATTTAGATTTTTTCTCAACAAAAAGTCAAAAATTTTGTTCAAGCTCAGATCTATATTTTGGCGGTTCAAATATTGATTTATTTTTATGTTCGCGTAAGTTACGCACTCCAATAATATGGAGATGGCTGCAAAATAAAGCCTGACTTTAACTTCCAAACGTGGTCTTCAGTTTTCAAACTTTCAGCGGTATCAATAATTTCCCTAATGATCCAGTTGTCTTAAGTTCTGTTAGTTGAACAAAGTTCTTGAAATTCGAATATCTTTTATATAATGAAAGTTTTCATGTAAAATTCGAAAATTATGTAGGAATGTCTAACTCAAGCAGAAACTTTTTAAATTTCTTGTTTAATGATGAATTCACTTTTTTTGAACGCAACTCCCAAATAAAAATGCTCATTAGTTGGCTCTTTTTATGCTTATCATTGGCAACTTAATAACATATGTCCTATCGGCTTTATTGGTGGCTAGTGTATTCTGATTTTCCTGCAATTGTGATGCAGTTGCGAGGACGTGCGACTCATAATATGCATGTTAGTGGTTTGAGTTCGTCTCATTGACATAGCAAAAAATTTTTTCAAGGTTTTTTGTCTTTCCTTTTCTCATTTGACTTTTTGTCCTTTTAGAGCTACTTTTTGCCGTTTTTTGCTTGTGTTTGCAAAGTTCAGATTCACGTCTGTGTAGTGCCAGTTGTTCCTATAATTTTCATATTGCCAAATTACGAAAATAGTTGTTTTCCAATGCAGCTGCTTGGCTATGTTCCGGCGTTGGCTTTGTATATTTTTTAATTTCATTTTAACCTATGCTTTGAACTTCTCGTGTATATGTGTAAGTCGAATCGTTTGTTACCTTTTTTTTGCTAACCGCTGAACCAAATGACTTGATCAAATGTCCTGACTACTCGCGTCGGTTGATGAATGTGGAGAATTACCTTTAGTGATTTGGGTTTGAAGTAGCGGGGGAAAAGATCATTTGTTTTTGATGTTTTCTGGAGTTTCTTTCCCATAGATGGTTGAAATTGAAGAATTGCCGCTTCTACTGCATTACGTGCCATATTAACCTAAGCCTAATTTTGATTAAACAATAAGTTGAGTAATACAGCAAACAAATACTAGAGCTCGAAATAATTCGAAGGTTGGAAGAATTAGTCTCTCTTATAACAGAAAATAAGGGTGGAACAAAATTGGTGGCCAGATTGGGCATCACTGGTTTTAATGTAATGGAACTAAGAGGGGCGTAACTAGTGATGATTTGACCCGGGTATGAGCCCTCGGACCTCCCTGGCCCAGGTGATAACGGTTCCCGGGTGTGAATAGCCCTATCAGATTTCGGTAACTAGCGATTAGAATGGGATCAAAATTTGGTATGCTATAGACCTAGTTGAGGAAAGCTTAAGCTTAGAATTTCAGACCACCTAGGCTCTTCCTTCCGGTTTTATGCCCTTATTAAACAAACATTTCAATTAAATCTGGAAATCGTCATTTGGCCTCCAAGGAACGCAGAAAGCTGAAACTTGGAAAAAATGGTAGGTAGTGACAAGGGACATCAGGTAATAAAGTTTGAACCCAATTCAGCGGTTGGACGGGAAGCTATTAGCACTTGAAAAAAACACTTTCTTAGACTGTAAGTAGGCCATTTATGCAAAATTTTGAGTTCCGAAAAAAGACCCCCTGTGAGTACAATCCCTTCCGCGACTCCTTTTGATGTTAATAGTCCTTCCCTGGAAAAAGTCATAGTGGACCTTCGAAATGAGATAATCTGGGAAGTATTAATCGGATAGTGATGAAACTTGTTGAGTAGGATTCTCATGGGATCATGGGAGCCTAAAACTGGCCGAGGAAGTTGACCAATGTTGACCCTTTAAGTTGACCCTTAGGCGTCATGACCCCAAATTGCATAGAAAACCCTAAAATTAAAACCGAAAAGTGATCTATCTCTTACAAATAATAACTGGGAATGGAATCTGATCATTGAGTAGTAGGAAGTAAGGTGGATGAAAGGCAACTGTAGGGTCTGCAGTAGAAGTCTTGGGGCTCAAAACAATACCTTGTTCTTCTAAAGTGTTGCAGTGGTGGGTTTTTAAAGTGGACTTGGTAAAAATTGCGTTCTTCTTAGCTTCGTGAATAAGTTATAAATAGATTTTCAACTAGACCAAAGAAAAGTAGTCCCAGAGGAAACTGCCAATAATAGGCATGGGAATTAAGTCGCTTAAACAATATAAATAGACGGGAAATTCACTATGCTCCCCGGAGTAGTCTTTTTTGGCTTAGTTTGACTGACCCCTAATGGACGAGCTACGTTTCCCTGATAGCTAGAAGGTCGGGATTGGAATAAGTTATTGATGGAAACTTCAGAGGCTTGAAATGAATTAGCCACCCATTAAAAGGGTCTTTATCTACCCTCGGCATGTTGGAAAGTTAACGGGACAATCAAAATATTGACTAAGAAGCTCACTGAGTAAACATAATATGATTTTGTGGTTGAATTGAACTCGAGGGCTAGAGAAGTCAGGAATTAGGTGATTAGGATCGTTTGACATTTGTTTGCTTGGGTTGAATTGTAGCAGCTACCGCATACCAGGTATCTAATAAGCGTAACAAAATTGATGTCAGGAACCCAAAGTGGCAATTGTCAGTGTTAATAGGGGAGAAATGTAGTTATAAAACATTCGCAGAGGAGTGAATTAAGCAAATCCCAGGACCGATAGGGAATGACGTAACTTTAACCAAAACTAAGAATAAATAAAGAGAAAAATCTAGAGGGTAGCAGAGAGCCACCTAGAGGCAGAACAATTACGCTAAGAGAGCGAACGTTTGGTTCAAATCATCAGCTAGAGAACAATTATCAGTATGCGACTAGATAGTTGCTAAGCATTAGAGAGGACGATTGAGGTAGCTGATGCAGTGAGGACGCTATTGCTTGAAGCGAAGCTAGTTGTGTCTAATATTGTTTAGTTGATTTGAACCAGAGTTAATACAGGTTTGAGTTAATTGCATGAGCAAGTTTGCGCTACTGGATTTGATGAGTTTGGGGTTTGGTCAATCGAAGAATGGAACGAAATGCGGGTTTCGTTATAGACGTTGTTGATAGTAGTTAGCTCATTAAGGGCTTCGTAAATTGATTTTATTTACTCCGATATTGAAGAATAATTAACTTATTTTGCCCACGATTTGCTGAGCTAGAAACGCAAGATAAGAGCCGAAAAGAGCAGAACAACTACGGGCAAGTTGCGTAATGCTTTCATCTGACAACTAACCTAACATTTTTGGGATTTTGATAATATCGTGTCTTAGTGTCCCCCGCTATTACACAGTATAAAGGAGAGAATCTTTGGGGCCATGTATTATTTCATTGCATTTTCGACTGAATGGAATGCAACGGTCGTACAGTGGGTCCTACCGGAAAGCCTTGATTCAATTTCCGTGAGATACGTTTCGATCATGATCATTTAATTATAACAAGCTTATTGTGGCTTTTCCGATAAAGCTCTTGTTCATTTTTGGCCCTCTAATTTACTGACTATTTTACGACATTCGTGTTCGGCCGGACCGACCCTGAAATTTTTCTAAAGGCGCCAATATCTAAGATTAAGACCATTTATCCACGGGGGAAAGGACCAAAACAAGAGCTGTACTGCTCATTAAGGCGAACCGCTGTTGTGCCCTTGTTTAAGAACTTCATGCAATTTTTTTTGGTTATTTTTTTCTGGGCTGGGTAATGTTGCTTCACGCTCAAGCAACGAGCACGGATCATGGTGGGCCTCGAACATCCGACCTTTTGATTGAGAGGCGGAGACGTAACCACTTCACCCACCGTTCCGATCTATTTATTTTAAGATGAAACGCGCCAGTAAATGCAGTTTTTTGATCAGAACTTTCCAACAAACTTCCAAAAACGGCTTTTTTGACCTGTGTACCCAAAAATTATTGTCAAAATAGGATCTCTACTATGGTGTTTTAGTAGAGAAAAAAGTAATTTGGTCGATCAAACAAGTCAAAATTTTCAGATAAAGCTACAACCGCCACTGATCGTAATGATTCGTAAACAGAATAAATCTTGAATATTTTAGCTCCGCTTTCGACGCACCGAGAGAACACGATTGACCGAGAGGCGAACGAACTCGTGGAGTGGGCCACCAACCTAGAGGAGAACGAGTTAGACGACTACTAGTTTTCTGCTACACCCTAGTGAATGTCAATCTATCAAATTATTTATGTCGAGTTAGAAGTATGGATCGTAAGCTAAATGTATCAAATGTTCATATGTGAATAGAAAATTATCTGTAATCATACTGTAAATTGAAAGGATATTCCGATAATTAAATTTTCGATGATTTAGATATTTAAGGCGAAGTCTCTACGATAAAATTGAGTTTCAAAGAGTTAGGTCGCACAATTTTTAGTCGTGTTTTTTATTATAAAGCCGAAAGTTTGTTCATGCTTAATTTTGTTGGTGTTCCGACTTGGTGTTTTTATTTTCATTCAGACACTTTTCAATGTTTTAACTGGCCTATTTTGAAGCGTTTTATAGCATCTGAAATGCATAGTCCTTAGTGCATAGTCCTTTTTAATATTTTTAAAAAGTTGCAATGTTTTTTTTTCATTTTTCCATCAAATTTTGAATTTCTCAAAAATAGATTTAATTCTTAGTATTTGAAGTGCACTCTAATTTTGTGATGAGACAGCCCCCTTACCCTTCAATTCTGGTGGCCAAACTTTTCCAAAGAGTCCCATTTTGCTATAATATCCATTTTTGGCGGGACATTTTCAAAAAATTTCTGAAGAAAATTTGAGGGCCGAGTAACGCGCCGAAAAAAAACCTAATATTTTGATCAATTGTTTCAAAGTGTTCAAAACGTCATTTTTGATCTGTGTTTAAAAAAATCATTGATTTTTCGTATGCACTATAATTGATCTTTAATCCATCATAACCTATTTCCAACGGTTTTTGTGCCGGCGGTCAAAACAAAATCAGTTACAGTTGGTTATTGCTCATCGAAGTTCAGGGCGACTGAGTTTCAAGGATCTGATTTTTGTTCTGGTAATTGATATCTTGCTTATCTAGTTTATTTTAAACTAGTTTTAACCAATTTCTTTTTAAATAGTTTCTGATTTTAGAATCCAACGCTTCCAAGAAACCAGATGCAATTAAAGAAAAAATGAAATTAAAGAAAAAATGCCAAAACATTTGATTAATTTAAACATTTAGTGGTTTTAGCAGAAACAATTTTTTATTGTTCCATCTTCAAAATGTTTGCAAGAAACCCTTTTAGTCATACCTCTCACAGCAAACTAACAAAACTGTTTTTGTAGTCAAACGGTCAGATGCCCACCCTAAAACTTGATTGTTTGAGCGGACGTACTTGAATTCTGTATCTTGTTCAACGAATTTTTCAATCAATTCCAGTAGATAACTGATATTTACTTTTTTCAGCATACAATTTTGCTATAAAGGCTATTTTCCATACTGTCCAGTACAGATGTTTAAGTCACCGTCCAGTCACTTGAAGAGTAACTTTCGAAAAGGACGTTATTTTTGCTTTTTTATTTGATATTTATTACGTTATTTGATACGCTATTTATTTGATATTCAAAGTTTGTTATCTAGTTGCGATGACGCAACTTTTTGCAAAGTGGATGAGATATTTTCTTCATAAGTCAAATTTAGCTAATAACGTATGAAACCACCAATTAATGATCCCTTATTTCTTTGATCATTAACTTTATGTACCCTTAAGCACAAAAATTTCGTAAACATTGAACTTCAGAAACCTAGAACAACTTTTATAGGTAATTTAACACTGAAGTAAAAGTTTTGATAAACCCTGAACTGCGTGAATTTACGCTAATGCTCGGAATTAGCGTGCATTCATGCAGTTTAGGATTTACGAAAGTTTTTGCTTTATTCATGAAACTATGAACTTTTTGAAAAATTATTTTTGAAATGTCTTACCATTATTCAATTGCTGTCTTATCTTGATATCCAATGTGTTTCTTTTCACCAGGCTGCCCACTTGGTCTCTATTTTAGAGGCTAGTCTCTAATTGGTCTCTATTTTTTCAGAAGTCTCTGAAGACCACTAACTTTCATAGATAAATTGTCGTATATAGTGTATAAAAACTCCCTATTCTTTCAGAAATTCGTAAGGCTCAAGAGACATAAAAAGTCGCACAGGCGAAAAAAAACAACGATTGAGTGCGGAAATCAGTGTTCAAAGTGGGCAAACATGCTCAGTCTAGTGCTATTATTGATGCGTTTTTCAATAATTGACATTTGTTAACTCCAATTTTTACTCAGAGCAGCATTTAACGTGTCATCAGTGTTAGTCTCTAAACTTTTCTGAACGAAGTGGACTTTTACTATTCCGATTAGAAAAAAAACTTTTTGGGTCCATTGCTCATCATATGCTGTTAACCTAACTTCGAAAGCTCAGCTTTGACAAAATTTTTTTATATTTATTGCTGATTACGTCATTGATAGGATACTGTGATGACATGATGAAAGTTGTTATCCGTTTTGCACTTGAAACAGTTGATTTCATTAGAATTTTCGATGTTATTGTTGCGAAGAGCTCAAACTGGAAGCCTTACATTGACACAAATTGTCAAAATTGCTAAAAGTTTTCTAGTTTTTGAAATGGAACCTCGCAAATGCTTCACATAGTCCGGGAATAAGTTTTTTTTTCAATACCCATTTTAAAATTGTTTTGGTTTTAATGCTATACTGCTTGGTGTCCACCAATACCTTGTGGTAAAAACATGGAATTATAAGCGAAGAGTGACAAAATGACTCGACTGTAAAGACAATTGTTAGGTGAATTTTTATAGCGTTTAAAGCTTCTTTTTGTTACAACAACGAAATCGATCTCAGATCAAATAGAGTTGCCAAGTTAAATTGATAAAAATCAAATGTGTCGACAATGTTTTTGCACAAATAGTGGTAAACGGGTTGCATCGTTTGACAAATATTAGCTTCAATGTAACTCTAAAAAGCTTTAAGAATACTCAGGACGCCCACACAGAACGGCACACACACAACGAGATGAATCGTGTAACAAACTTAGCTTCGACAAGATTGCTTGGAAAGTTTTTTTTTAAAATTACCAATCTTGTGATATAAATATTGCCTGTTTTTTCTTAATACAGTGCCATTTGGAACCTGATCTAAACTACATTTTATTATTTATAAATTAGATTTTTTACCACTGTAAAATATTTAATTTTAACCAATCACAATCCATCCAACTAACAACCCACCTATTTGTAAGTGCTGAAATTACTTGTAATTTCAGCACCAGAGAGATTTGAATTTAACTTAGAAATTAGTTGCCTCTCCTCGAGATTTTCAGCAGCCACCATAAACCAGTATACTCTGGATCTATTGAGCCTAGCAGAGACTAGTTAAACAACCTGAGACTAGTAGATATAAGAGTAAGATTAGGATCGGTATTAGACTAAGAAGTTGCACGAATCTATCCGGCCGAAAATAAGATAGCGTGACGAGCAGACGGTGTACCCTATCCGAAATTACTCTATGAGATAGACCTCCAAACCTAACTCATCTGGTGAGACCATAAGTCTCGAAACAAGACCTTAAAAAACAAATTAGCTTAGAATTAACCAAAAATAGATTAGAAAATAGACAAAATATTTTCAAAATGTTACACGACAATCATTTAATTGAATGGTCTCTACGACGCAATAGATCAGAGCCGCTATTCCGTACAATACGAGAACTACTCGGTATTGGAAAAAGACCTCGGACAAGAGACGACATACGACTACATAGAAACTTACCATTTAGTTTCATGGTCGTAGGGCAAAAGCCAACACAAACTTTTATATTTAGAATCTTATTAGCAATGAATTTAGATTTTCATTTGCACACATAAATTCATTGAAGAAAACCTTCAATGAAAATTACAGGCGCTAAACCATTTTACTATTGTTCAATAATGATTGATAAAAAGATCTCAAATCGTTTCTTCTGCAGTACTATATAAAACGTATTTGAAAAAATAATTTATTGAAAACAAAAACAAAAATTAGTAGCATGACAACAAATTGTTAGTAAATATAAAATCATTCTGTGTTCCAGCTTCATCACCTAAAACATAACAGCAATCATGAATAATTTAATTTCATCAACACTAAAACTTCATTACTTTTAAATGTTTCACAAAAATTTATCTTAAATCTTAAATCACCTAAACTTAATTTTATTCAATCTTAAAATCAGATCATCAAGGCCTTCCTTGGATCTCATTTAATTTTCTATTTTAAATTTTTAATTCTGATCATCAAGGCTTATCCTTGGATCAAAAAGAACAATTTTGTTCTCCCCCACCCACTTATCAAGTGTCTAACGACCTCAAACGTCGATTCACTACCCAACCTTCTCAATAGACCCAGACTAATAGAAATTTTTAAAATACTAACCATTCAAATTAAGCTAAACAGTGAAGAACTTCGGTTATTCATCCTTCACTTGACCCCTCCTCTTATACGACCCAGGATAAATCTTAAACTTAGTAAGTTTAAAATAGTATCTAACAAACTACTCGCGTTCTAATTATACCTGAACCTTGTGGATCGATTTACTATTCCCCATTCACTTCTGAAAGATCCAATAATAACTCCCCAGGTATTGTCCAAATCTCCGAAGAGCTAGATAATTTTATCACACTACAACAACAATTAACATACCCACACACTCTTACCATTCACCACTTGCTATCCACAGCAACATCATCAAGTCCGCCAACGCCTACACCGCTATCAGATTATACCCCATCATTAGCCCAATCATCCACATCAACTGAAACATCCACTAGTACTAACCGAGCTTACCGCACTTTCAAACGAAAATTCCCAAATCACCCATTCACAGTTAAACCCGGAACAGCTAAAGAGTATATAAATCACCCAGATCACACAAATACAAGGAACTACCTTAATATTGACTTACCCTCATTTCCACAATACACCTTAAATACATCTACCATCACTACTAATGACACAAAAAATTTCGTCGATGAGCACGTTTTAATGCCAACACTCCCTTGGACCGCCTATTATCACTATACTAACCCTCTTTTTATACCACTTAACAATACACATGAAGATAATGAACAAATCAAAAATCTACTGTACAAACTCACAACACCACTAACACCTCGACAATTTACGAATGTAGGATTGAAAAAGTTACTAAAAACATTCACTGCAACCCGAGCTAACGATTTCAGAATCGAATATTACGATCAAAACATCATACGCCCTAACAAAGATCAATTTTTAGATGACGACCGC